CCTGCTGTCATTCTTTTGGCAGTTCATAGATTTCCTTTCTCTCTCTCTCTCTCTCTCTCTCTCTCTCTCTCTCTCTCTCTCTCTCTCACTGTTTCATTCTCCATTTCTGACATTCCAGGTCCTATCATGTTAATTCTTTTAGCATACAGAACAGCAATTTTAATTAGAGCCCATACTGAGCTTTGCCTCGGTCAAGTTGTGCTAAGGGACTTCACCAAGTCTCCTTCAAACAGAAAGTTGTCGATGGCACCTTTTGGTTGCTGATTCAAGATTTTCCTCCTCCTCTGATGCCACGTTTTGACTGATGGTACCTAATGCAATCAGCCACTGCCAGCGAACAGCCCGGCCTGGCCTGTTCTTTTTTCAGAATCCTTTATCCCCTCCCCACCCCTCAACAGGACAGGCACCCCCCCCAAAGCTTCACTTCCCAATGCTTAAGCAGAAGATGCCTCCCTTTGCACGTGTTTTTGATAAATTTAAGAAGTCAAATAGCTGACACAGATGGATAATCCAAGTGTATAGGGTGAAGAGTTATAAATTAACACATTATTCCCTCTTAATGTGAAATACTTGAGAATGCATTTTCTCAGTCCCCTGACATCTACCCGGTGAGGGCTCGCATTGTACTTTTCAAGTGGCATTGATTTGTTAAAGCGCTGAATTAGCATCTTAGGCCAGCTGCCTGTTCCACTGTTGTGGTGTTGGGCTCGTCTTCCCTCCCTCCCTCCCTCTCCCTTTCTCTCTCTGCCTTGCTTCCTGCTGCCTTGGCCACACATAGGGCTTCAGCCTGCTCACCCCGGTTTTCTCTCTCTGTTCTCCCCCTCTCTCCCCCTTTTTTGCCACTGAAGCAGGTTATATCCTTTCTATGTGCAGGAGAAGAGAGCAAAGGAACGCAGCTCCTGTTACAAGAAACCTACTGTACACGGCTGGAGTGTGTGAGTGTGCTTGGCTGTTCGTAAAGAAACGAGCGAGTTACAGTGTGCCCAAACAAACTTGTGCATTGTCTTCTCTTTCTTTTTGCAGCGGTGCCGAAGCTTCTCTCCCCCGCCCCCTTCCACGCCAAGTACACAAATGGGCAGGACTTAAAAATCAGAATGAACATACATGCAAGTCAGAAAAGATGTGAGCAGAGGGCTTGCATTTCAAAGTTGTTTGCTTACTTAATGTGGAGCAAATCGTTCTTCTGTGTCCAAGGATACCTTGGGCTTCTGCCACTTTTGTGAAATGTACAGTTTGGTCACTGACTCGGACGTTGTTGGTGTCTGAATTTTGGGTTTTGTTTTGTTTTCCTTTGTGCTGGGAGAAAAAGAGAGAGAGACATCTTCTCCTTTGGTCCTTCTGTCTCAAATGTTTCCACAACAGTTTAATTCTTTATCTTTCTCATGGTGGGCCCTGACAGATTGTGAAGCATTGCCCTAATTGACTAAATCGCATTACCAATATATGTATTCCAGTAATGAAGATTATGCACATGAAATTAACATTACATTTCATTTAAAACTGCTAATAAAATGCTGACATTTTTATTTGTGGATTCTTGGCATGGTAACTCTGCAAAATCTCTGAGAGCCTACAAAGGGACTATGCAGTAAATTAGAACAGAGTATTACAATGACATCCTCTTCTGTCAAAGCTAAACTCCCTTTTTTGTTGCCTATTGCCTTATGCTTTTTATTGTTTAGTTAGGCACAAAATGTAATCCATTTGAGGTGCACCAAAGGGGTGTGTGCAGTGCAACCCTACAATATCAGAAATATAAAAATTTAACCTCTACTTCACAAGTTTTGATACCAATTCAGTATGGGTGCCTCTGTGTGATCTTTCTACCTTCCTGGTTCATAATTTAAAGTGCTAAATAAGAGATGCAGGGTGGGGGCAGGGGGACCCAGTTTAGAAATGATCTGGTGTGTAACCAGATCAGTTTATGCTAAAATCTCTCTTGGCCCAAGTGCACATTGAGTCAATTGCCGTATTTTGAAGAGCAAAAAAGAGGATGCTATAACGGCTATTCAAAGCAAATAAATGCAATTTGTATCAAATTTTACCCCTGAAAAAAGACGTGTCCTGTCCTGGAAAAAGAGGACACATGGCAACCCTAACATTGGCCTGCCACCATGATCATCTGAAATGCAGGGGGAGGCTAGATTTTGCCCTTTGTTGTCCCTCAGACACATGATAACGTGTTTCTATATAAACCTTCTGTTCTTTATCCAACCTCTGATTAGCTTAGTATTTTTGAGGGTCTTCTGATTATTAGTATAAAACATTGGTGTCCTGTTGATTTGAGTGCCATACTGATAGATGCGTCTCACTGCCTCCAAGGGTCAGGGATTTTGCAGAGTCTGGTCTCTCTTGCAACAAATCTGAAGGCTGTCAATTAATTACTGGCAGCACTCAGGTCTAGAACCTGAGTTAAAATTTCCCTGCTTTGAAGAGGTGCAGGCAGAAGCAATTTGCAATGTGCTTAATTCTTCCCATGCCTAACACTTTCATTGCCCGCTCTCCTGCCAACTTCCTGCTTTGTGTGTGTGCCATATCAAGCTGAAAGGTGTTCAGGAAAAAGGGATGGGGGGAGGAGGTGTCAAGCACCCCCCCCATACATCACGCATGGCCCCTTCTTTGCAGTGGACACGTGGCAGTCTGCATTCTCAGGCCTGTGTATCCTATCAGACATTTAGTTCAGCCCTCAACTTCCATCCTTTTTTAAAAAAATAATAATTAAAGAATGCAAGTTTCTAGCTCCCATTGCATTGTATAAAAAACTGAAAATATTTACCAGCATTTGCAAAAGGCTGCAATAATCTAGGGACAGATTTATTTATTTTTTGCAACCTTTGTAGTTAAAACTGGCTTCCCCTTGTATTTCTCTTCCCTTAACACCACTACCAGTCTTTGTCACCATGGCATCCATGGCAATACACTGGAACCTCGGTTACAAATGCTTCAGGTTACAGACTCCGCTAACTCAGAAATAGCACCTTGGGTTAAGAACTTTACCTCAGGATGAGAACGGAAATCGTGTGGTGGGCGGCAGCAGCAGGAGGCCCTATTAGCTAAAGTGGTGCTTCAGGTTAAGAACAGTTTCAGGTTAAGAATGGACCTCCGGAACGAATTAAGTCCTTAACCCGAGGTACCACTGTACAAAATCAAATCAAATCTTAAAAAGCAAAAGAAATTACCCAAATTAGGAGGGTAACATTTTTTTCATAAAAAAACAGGTTCTGCATTTGAGTCGCCTTTTGTTATATAAGCACATTTCTGTAAACAGATTTGCATACAAGTCAAATAATCAGCTAGCACCAGCTGGTAGCAGCCACTGATGTGGGGCTGGTGGGGTTGTGTTGCTCTCCTGGCTCTCCAACACAGTGGGTCACTGCTGCTTGCAGAGAAGGGGAGGGACGGGATGCAGAGAGCTTTGCACATGATGGCAGGAGTAATGGACTGGCTCCACTGCCACAGGTTGCACCATACTGGGCCCATCCCTGTCCCTTTCCCAGCGATCTGTTGCATTGGGAAGCCAGAAGAGCAACAGAGCCCAGTACCAGCTAGCTATTCCTTACAACACGATTGTCCTAATAAAGGGCACGACCAGAGGCCGTCACTGAGCGGTTTAAGATTTGCATGCTAAGGCGCATGGGAGGGAAATCAGCGCCAGTACACCAGGGATGCTTTGGCAAATAATTGCTGGGAGGAGAGCGTGTAGAATTAGTATGGTCTGGTTGAGGTGAAGGGATTAAACAACTTTGTTTCTTAAGTGTGCTTAATGAGCTAATTGAGACCAATATTGAGACCAAGAGAATTAAAACTCGGGGAAGGCAGTTCGTGGTTTTTACAAGAAAGGTTATTTTGTTCAGAGACCTTTGCATACTGGTGCCTTTCACATTGAAAGATGCCCAAGACAAACATGAGATGTTATATGTGTGTGGATGGATAGACAGAGAGACAGACTCCCATTATGTTAGGCTAGCAGAAGCTCATTAAATTGTGCAGGTAATATGCTTGCCTTGGGGAACTATGGGCAGTGATGAATAATCATGGTCAACTGTTGGAAATGGCTAAGGCATAGTCTGAAGGCTGGCTGGAAGGTAGATTCTTGAGAGTATCTAGAAAAGAAGTGAGAGAGATTGTGCAATGTATGAGAAGAAAGGAATTAATGAACAGAAACCACCCGAGGGAGCAGGTAGGAATTGCTTCGAGTTTTGGGCCCTCTGTTACTAAACTCCTTTGACAAATTCCTTCAGATGGCAGTGCCCTCAGCTACTACAGAGGGGGAAACCCCAGTGGGTGGGTGTTTCACTGCAATGCTCAGGAAGCAAGACAGAAAGCAAGTGGTCTAGGAATGGAAGTAAAGATGAATAAAGGGTTTAGGGAAGGAGAACAGAACCAGGGCTAGTGGTTGGGGATAAGGGATAAGGGGGGGGGAGAGAATAAAGCAGGAAAACATTTCCTTCCTTGGGAATCACAGAAAACTATGACAGACCATGACACTTTCCCTCCCAATAGTTGAGAAGGGTCATGTGCTCTGATCGATTTTGTCTTTTAAATAATTTATTGAGGCTGTCACCAGCATCCCCCAGGAAGATCCCAAAGGTTCAGGAACTCTGAAGCAGCTTGGGGTGGGGGCTGCGGCTGGGGAATAGGGAACTGGTAATCTCCCTATTAATCTGCCTGCAGCCTGGAAGATGCAGAGGAGTTGGACCCGAGCTTTTGCCTTCGTAGTATCAGAAAGCCCAGAAAGCAAAGACCATTTTGATTTGGTCGTAGATTTTTCTGGGTGACAGTGATCTCAGACGGCTGGCTAGGCTTAGGGGAACCTAAAGAGGAAACCAAGAAAACATAAACTCGAGACAGAGATTCCCTCGCCTTATCTCTCCTCAAGGCTCAGCAGCTGTCTCCTTTGGCACTCAGCCCTGAACTGGTTCCAAAATCTGGATAGGAAGGTATCCATGTTGCTCTGGAGGCGGGCTCAGAAAAGCACCCAGATGTTAATATGTTACGAGTACCATGTGGCTGTATATCGAAAAGAATTGCATTGCGTCTATCATGCAAATACTGTACCTGTATTGTTCAAGCAGTCTATAGCGGATCCTGTTATTTCAGTTGTTGTTTGCTTCGAATTATTTGAACCTCTTGAAACTTCGACGTGCTTCTATTGCATAGAATTCAAGGGTTATGAATATTCTACATTATATTCCACATCAGGATTGAGCAAAGGGCAGTGGGAAAAGGCAGGGACACTCCCCTCCGCTGGAAAGGCTGGTTAGAAAAGTTACTTGTACTATTTTTGCAAGGCAGTGGTTTCTTTTCCTACTCAGTGGCTCAAATCTGAAGTTAGTAACACATAAGTTCTATTGAAAGGGAAGGGTATCTGGGTGCCCATAGCTGTGTTCAGTTGCTTTCAATGTGAATCAAGTAGACCTCATTACTAGAGAGCAGGATAAGCATTAAGCAGAATTCAATTATAACCTCTAATAGATATTTAAATATAGTGGTCCTGAAATAGCAGAAATCTAATGGAAATGGGGTATGTGGTCTAATTAGGGAAGCTTAATTTCACGGGAACTTGTTGACTTTCCATATCATTTTTGAACATCTTTAAAAATTGACTAGCTTACTGAAATTGTGTGATGAGCAACACCGAACCACAGCTCATAGACTTAGTAAAACAGATTCAGAATGGTTACTGAGTGAGAAGCTTAACGTAAAATCTGTTTGCTTCCTATTGACTGGTTAAATTGGCTATAGGTTTGACATCTCAATAATCTTCAGAAAAAGTAGAATATATTGGATACGCTAAACTCACCAAAGGTCTGTCATAGTGTTAAATCTTGTCCTCAATACTTAGTGCTTTCTTGGCATTTTCTCATATTATTTCATCGTGTCCAAGAGATCAAGGGCATAGACTTGATATGGCAAAATCAATTCATCCTGAAAAGCTGGTTCAACCTGAAATAATCAAAGTCAATCAGTGAGAGTGGCTATTAAACTAACCTTGCAAATCCCTTCTTGTCAGATATCTTCATTGTACAACTGGAGGCAAAATAGAACTTCTGGCTACTTCTTCACTTTTGTTTCCAGAAGGCTTAGCTCCTCCTCGTGAGCTTTATCCTAGCAAAATTGTATTTATTTTGATTTGATTTCACCCTACCCTTCCAACGGGGACGCGGGTGGCGCTGTGGGTTAAACCACTGAGCCTAGGGCTTGCCGATCGGAAGGTTGGCGGTTTGAATCCCCGCGACGGGGTGAGCTCCCTTTGCTCACTGCCAACCAAGCAGTCCGAAAGCATGTCAAAGTGCAAGTAGATAAATAGGTACTGCTCTGGCGGGAAGGTAAATGGCGTTTCCATGTGCTGCTCTGGTCTCACCAGAAGCGGCTTAGTCATGCTGGCCACACGACCCAGAAAAACTGTCTGCGGACATACACTGACTCCCTCGGCCTATAGAGCGAGATGAGCACCACAACCCCAGAGTCATTCGTGACTAGACTTAATTGTCAGGGGTCCCCTTACCTTTACCTTACCCTTCCAACAGGTTCCCGGGGTGGTTTACAAAAACTTTATTTAAAAAAAAAAAATTCAAAAGGACCATAAAAGCAGTCAGCAGAATTAAAAGCAAAGGATCAGATAGCAATGCACAGAGGATTAAAAATCCAGGGGAAATAGAAAACAGTAATTGGTGCTGAAATAACTCCCTTGCGAGAGCATTGCATAATTGGGGTGCCTCTAGGAAGAGTGGCTAGGTCTTTCTGCCTGTATTTGGGTGTTTCTGTACTTACCCTTTAAAGTGATACAGTTGCTGTTTTGTTAGGTTATTTTTGGTGGGGGCATGTTGCCACACGATGTTGGCATTATTCAGCTACTATTCTGGAATAATGTGCTAAAAAAAGAAGAAAAGAAAAAAACATTCCTGCTGTTCCTTCCACCACAAAAAATCCACCTTTTGCAAAAGTTCCAGCATGGCTCTTCAGTATTTTTATTTGTGCGACATGTGTACTGTATAGCATTGCCCCTCTTTCTGTGCAGAGGGGTTGAGAGGCATTGTTTTCACGCCACTTCCCTCTGACCAGGGCAAGCTGTTCCTTTGCGAGCTCTGCTCAGGGGTGAGATTACGTCAGATGGAGAGGATGGTACTGAGTCAAAGTACTGCCCCATGCATCACAACAGCCAGGCTCTCCCATAGCTCAGCTCCCTGAGGTCCCTCTTTCTAATCTCCTACACTCCCATACTATTAAAATTCCAGAATACTAGGCATTCTTTTTAAGCCACAAAAGGGCTATCCCCAATGTGCCTGCTCCTGACTCCAACTTTTACTGGCTGAAGGGAATGCAAGGGCATGTAAGGCGTGTGACTACAATGAAATAAATTGCCATGTGGACACAACCCATAGTTAACAGATATCTCGGACTAATTGCAATATCAGAACCATCTTGAAAGATGCTCCCAATTATAATGCATTCTAAACTACATTACATTAGCTAATGTTAGTGATCAGGTGAAGAGTAGGAATCTTCTGCAATTATTTTACTAAGCAGCCGGTTTGGTAAAGTGCTTGTTGTGTACTTTGGTTTCCCAAGACAGCTTTATTTTACCATATAGAGTAAAGATAATAAAGGTGGCATTCAACTTAAGTTTACTCAGGGGTAGGTATATTGGAAATTAATGGACCCAACATAGTCATATTCATTCATTTCAACGGAGCTACTTTCTATAAAACGTAGTTGAATATAACCCAAAGTGATTGCAATGCTGACTTAAAAGCCACAGTTTTGTTGCTGCAGAACTGCCACGCACCCTTTCATATTTAGTGTCCAGTGGTTGTGCTCTGAATCAGGTGCAACCCCTGTTCTGGATGAAGTAGTATTCCGGATGGCACTGTTTTGTCATGCCAAAAGAGGAGTGATAGCTTTACATCCCATCATAGGATGCTTGACCAGTGTGCTTTCTGTTTGGATCCTGTCTTCAGGCAACCCTCTCTGATGGGAGCGGTGCTTATTGTCATCTCTAGAAAGCCACTGAGGTTGGATCTACACACATGTTAAAAACATTGTGAAAATGCTTTTTTAAAAAATCATTTTGAAAAATGCGTTAAATTTGCTATAGCTCACAATCGTTTTCTAGTGTCACAATTGTATATTGCACTTAACAACACATCCAAAACATTTTATTTGCAGCCGAGTCCCAAAACTACATGGGGACAATTAGCATTTTTGGTACATAACAGTGTTGTTATTTGGGGCAGATTTTGCTAGGTATGCTTGAGGAATTCATCTTTGTGAATTCTGATAGGAGCTTTTGATCTGATCTGCACTTCCTTGACGAATGCGTAGGTTGGAATGTAGCTATTTATTTGATTCCACACGTCTCCAAACGTTGCGACGCAGCTGAAAAAATTATAAAAAAATACTTTAGAAAGCACATTTTGGGAGAAACTATATTTTAAAATAGATATTTAAATACACATTAAAGTGCAATTTTTCATTTCATTTTTTAATTGATGCAGAAACAGGACAGAGAAGACTTATGAAGTAGGCTTTCTGTATCATAATCTGCTCTGATAATTATACTGTATCATTATTTGAGGATATAAATAAATAAATAAATAAATGACACCAGCACCCAAAACACCTGGGAGGCTGGAGAAAGAGGATTTATTGCCACTGCCCAGGCACCATCACTTCCCTTTTGCTGCCATCAACCTCCTCAGGGGAATGGGGCAGACAAGGGAGATAGCTGCAGTGGTGGGCCTTGGGGCCTCAAATTTCACTGGCCCCAAGTGCAACCCCAAAATCCAGCGTCCCCCCATGGCACCCCCGAGGCTCCACGCTCAGTGCGACCGAATTGGTTGCACCTCCCTAAATGCGCCTCTGATAGCTGTGAGCCACCTGGCCTGCTAAAAAGGCTCAGCCAACTTCTCTGATCTGTATTTTATTTTTATTTTTTCCAAAAAAATATATATTCATTTTATAACACAATTAAGCAACACAAACAGAAAATAAACAATACAAACAAATTCTTGTCTTATCCTTATTTTTTCTAAACATTGTTAGGTGAGCTTCCCCAAGTCCCCCCTATCTGATTTTCATTTTACCTCATCTTTAGCAGTTTCATGTATCATGATTTTTAACCATTTTTTAATCACACTTACTTTTACCATAAAAATCGTCACATTTTATCACTTACAAATAATACTGTTTTAAAATACACTATCTTCTACTTCTAACCCTACAGCCTATATCCACTTTCAAAGCTATTCTAAGATTTAAATATTAACATATTTTTTCAAATATTCCTTAAACTTCTTCCAATTTTCTTCCACCGTCTCTTCTCTCTAGTCTCGGAGTCTCCCAGTCAGTTTGGCAAGTTCCATATAGTCCATCATCTTCATCTGCCATTCTTCGATAGTTGGTAAATCTTGTTTCTTTCAATTCTTCACTAGTAATATTCTTGCAGCTGTTGTGGCATACAGAAAAAAGTAACATCCTTTTTCTCTGATCTGTATCTTAAACAAGGCTACTCTTGCCTCCTTAGCAAGACTAGCAGTTTGAATTAGCTTCATTTATTTGACTGGTTAACTTTTTTTATTATGATTTTGCTGGGTACTTGCCATCTATTAAGTCTAGATCTGTTCATCAGCACATGGGCTGGGTTCTACCAGTGACCCTTGGGTCACTTTTAGGTGTGCCAGGTGGCATCCTCGCTTGCCTGCCGCATCCTTTTGCCATTTCTTGGGCCATTGCCAGCACCTGCTATTGGCCCCACAGTCATGTCTGAATGGGTTGACAGTGAAGCTGCTGCAGCAGCAGGAATATTCCTAACCCTTTGCCAGTGTGGTGGTTGCAACCATCATGTGATACCTTACTTGCCTAAAGTGTTTGCAAAAAAAAAACCATTGAGTCAAAGCCAGCAGGAACAAGCTATGTTGTGTAATATGTTTATCACTTAATGCCTACCAATTGGACTACTGTAATTGTATTTCCCGTTCCCAGTCCATATCTCTTGATCTGAAAATGGTTTGGCACCATGGGCCATACAGTATAATGGGCTTTTGGATTTCATTCTGTTGCAAGGCAGTATAAACCATTTCTGTTACTATTCGTTGCTTATGTGCCGCGTTAAAAACTAAAAATCATAGCCCACCAGGTATGATTATTTCTACAGATAAGGATCTAAGGCTGAGAAGTGCCAGAAGTTGGGGGTGATTTTGTAAGAGCCTCTCTGTATAAGTAATCATGTATTGAAAGCCATGATTTTTTAATTCTTAGGGTTGTTGCAATAAAAACTAAACAATCTCATGAAATCTGTTTGCTAAACCATTTAGGGGGAAAAATAGTCTTGTGAGTTTATGTGGGTATTTATTAGGGATGATTGGATCCATCTATTTCTATTCAATGTCAGTTCTGTTGACATTTCCATTCCACCTTAAGGAACAGGCATGAGATTGTTGCATGTCACATGTCTGTTGACATTCCAGCACATATGTCCATTGGTCCATCGTGTTCCAGTTTTGCATTGATCTGTATGCATTTCTAAATGTTTGTGTATGTATAATCAAACAAGAACCATGTTGTAAAATTTTGAGAAGTGTGAAATCTGAAGAATAATTAGGTTCTGGTCCGTTTGCATGTTCAGGAGGTACATTAGGTTAGTTTGCTTAAAAATGAGAACCAAGCAAAATTTTCCTTCCTCTCTAGTCTATATTAAAAATAATAGGATTGTTGGTGGGGGAATAGGATTGTTTATCAAGAGAATGGGGGGGGGGACTATTTAGGGGACACCACGTGAAGGTAGGCAATGTATAGAATAATTTACTTTAGCAGTGAACATGAGGAATCAAAGAAATCCATTATTTTCTCCAAAAATTGTCTGTGTAGTATTTAACACAGTGATGCTTTCTCTGAGTTCAGAACAAAAAAGAAAAATCCATGTGTTGAGGCTTAAGCTATTAAGCGAATAGGTGAAAATTGCTTGCTTCCTGGTGCCACTATGTTTTCTTTCTGTAGTAGAATAATACTGACACGCTGCCCAAAAAGGTTAAGAGACCTTCACTTTCCCATCAGTGTTTCCCAACGTTCGTAGAGAGAGACTCTCCATTCCCTCTTAAAAAATACATATTAATTACAGAAATAATAACAATAAAAAGAAAACCTTGCCAGAATACAAATGCATTGTCAGCTTTGATAACTAGACCCACCAGTATTGTTTGGCCAGCGATCTCAGCTTGTTTCCCACAAACGTTCATTAAAACAAACGAGAGAGAGAGAGAGACTGTGAATAGAAGAAGGGGGTTGAGTGCATGGCGTCATGTTTTGCCATACTCAGAGTAGTCCCATTGAAGTCGATTGCCATACTTGGGATCTTGCCTGCGGAGTGTAATCCGGTGCACAATTAAATGCGCTTAAATGCCCCTGAAACCAGCAGGTCGTCAGTGTGCTTAACCATCTGCTGGACTGCGGCCATAATATTTCATAACAACAGCCACTGTATTAAAGCCAAAGGCCCCTGGCAAGTGATTGAAGTGGCTGCTGAGATGAGAGGAGCGATTCGGGGAGCTGGCCTTGCCTGCTGAGTGTTGCGACTGCAGAAGGCGACATGAGCCTGCGGCCCAGAGGTTGGGCAAGAGCTGCACTTACGAGCCGGGTGCTGCTGGCCAGGGTTGAGGAAGCAGAGGTGGCCCCGTTTGTGCTCCATGTGTGGGTCTGCTGCACACTTTTTCCCGTCAGAGCTGGGACAGGCCGGCCAGAAAAGCGGTTCCTTGGCAAGGCTGAACGGCAGGATGATGTAGTCTGTTGTGACTAGTGCATTCCTTTCAGGTTAAACTAGGGAAATGGCATTGTGTTAAAATTCCAAGTCGCATGAATGTTTTATTGCCACAAGTGCATTCAGGTCTCAAGGGGAGCGTGTGTGTGTGTTTGGAGCTGGAGAGGGGAGGTGTGGGGAGAGGAACAGAGGTTGGGGCAGTGCGACTTAGAGCTCTGGGAACTATCAGAAGAACACTTCCCTTGGAAAATGTTACCCAGTGGTGTGTGAAGCTGACTGGCTGCTGCGATAGTGGCTTTAGAAGGGTTTCGCTTTTCCCCCTGGCTGCGGCTGTTTAAAATCTCTCTGTCCGGACAATTAGCAGCTGAAGAAAATATGACAAGACACACGCGGCGAGGTTGGGAGATAGAGAGTAGGAATGCGCCAGGAGAGGGTTGAATTGCCTTCTTGTATATAAACTGGCAGATCTCCTCTCCCCGTCGCTGTAACCCACTCCTAGAGCTGCTTCTCGCCCCCCCTTTATTCCCCCCACCCGTCTGCTGAAGGCCAGGAGTGATCTGTTAACTGTACGCGGACGAGGAGGCCAAACCCGTTCACGGCACTGCTTGTTACCATTACTACTCCCTCATTCCTTTTCACATTTTTTTTCCTTAAAGCATTTCTTTGTAATAGTGCTTTGCTTGAATCAGAAGAGAGGGTTTGGCTGCAGAAAAACAGAGAGGCTGCACAATTTTACTTGGGTGGGGGGGAGGAAGTCTGGCGATTTATGTGCCAGTAATGATTTCAAGCAACAACAACAAAAGTTAAAACAGTGGTGTTCCTACAGGGGCTGGAATGGCAACTGTGCATATATAATTCTTTTAATGAAATACCGTGAAGGCAAAGTTGAGCTGCTTTTATTAAACCTGATTAATACTTGTTGGTGGTGCTGTGGGTTAAACCACAGAGCCTAGGACTTGCCGATCAGAAGGTCGGTGGTTCGAATCCCTGCGACAGGGTGAGCTCCCGTTGCTCGGTCCCTGCTCCTGCCAACCTAGCAGTTCGAAAGCATGTCAAAGTGCAAGTAGATAAATAGGTACCGCTCCAGCGGGAAGGTAAACGGCGTTTCCGTGCGCTGCTCTGGTTCGCCAGAAGCGGCTTAGTCATGCTGGCCACATGGCCCGGAAGCTGTACGCCGGCTCCCTCGGCCAATAAAGTGAGATGAGCGCCGCAACCCCAGAGTCGGCCACGACTGGACCTAATGGTCAGGGGTCCCTTTACCTTTACTTAATACTTGTTGGATATTAAGTATCTATGGGAAAGTGGATGTGGGTTATGCCTGCCTTCTCCTTGTGGCATGTGGTATTCTGATAGACAATGGACTTGGGTTTATTTTGCTGACAGAGAGGTATAGCACGGGCTGCTAGAGGTGTAGTGGACCAGCTGAGCTTCAGGGGCAGTTCAGGGAGATAATGTGGTGCAATGGTTAGAGTTTCAGTCCAGGACCTTGGGAGAACAAGGTTCAGACCCCCACTCAGCCGCAAGGCTCCCTGGGTGACCTTGGGCTAGTCGCTGCCCCTCAGCCTTGCCTACTCCTCAGGGCTGTTGTGGGGATTAAAAAGCAAATCTCTGTTTGTTTCCTGAGTGGAAATATTTATGGGCATTTGTATCCCCACCACCTGCCTCCGCTCAGAGTGGCATAGCATATTAATGTTAACATAGCGTATTCATTATAGGCTAAAAAAAGAAAAGGCTTTGCTTAAGATAAGGCCATTTTATCCATTTTACCCCCAAAGGCCGGAATGTGTGTGATCTGCACAGGGCATATTGTTAGTTTTAGCGGACTTCACTTGAGTTGGGGCTCACTTCTATAACCTGTCTTCATTGCCTGCACCCAGAACATGAAAACTTTTTAAAAAGTCGAATGCATTCACATGGATGTTTCCTTCTAAAAGAAATGCGTCTTTTCCAGATAACCAGGCCCCTAGTTGACAGGGATATACAGGAATATAGAATTGCTTCTACCTGTGCTTTGGGTTACAACTGATCAAGTTCTTTTCCAAGCTGAAAAAAAGGAAGGAAGGAAGGAAGGAAGGAAGGAAGGAAGGAAGGAAGGAAGGAAATGCTGAGAGTTTTGGAATATGGATTAAAGCCTCCTGGCTTGGAGCCAGAAAGACAATCTCTCCCCCCACCATGCAAATAGACAAGCTGTAGTTGTGAATACCTATAAGCAAAGTTTCCAGTGCCTTGTGAACACATCCACCTTCGCTAAAGTAACTAACTGGGTCATTAAATGAGCTGGGCCCTAAATGGCCTTGGCCCTGTATACCTGAAGGAGCATTTCTACCCCCATCATTCAGCCTGGACACTAAGGTCCAGCTCTGAGGACCTTCTGGTGGTTCCCTCCCCATGAGAAATAAAGCTACAGGGTACCAACCAGAGGGCCTTCTTGGTAGTGGCCCTCTCACTAGATGTCAAGAAGATAAATCACTGTACAATTTTCAGCCCTGTTTAGGGAAGTTTTTAATGTGTGATGTTTTATTTTGTTTTTATGTCTGTTGGAAGCCTCCCAGAATGGCTAGGGCAACCCAGTCTGATGGAGGCAGGGTACAAATAATAAAATGGTTGTTGTTATTGTTGCTGCTGCTGTTGGCTTTCTGGACATGGCCACAGCCTGGAAACAGGTTTCAGCCATGACACCTTTATCTTTCTTTCTTTAATATGTATAAAAATGTCTTAGCACAAGTGGGATGTCGTCACAAAATGTTGTGGTGTATCCCCGGTTTTTGTGTATTACCTGATCCTGTGGCTGGCTGGCTGGTCGTGGGAGTTAGCATCAAAAGCAGGAGTTCCTCTTCTAAACTCAGTATGGTTTTGTGAGCAACATTCTTGCATTCATTCATTCATTTGACATTTGAAACATGCAGCCAGTTTGCATGCAAGTTAATGGAGCATGAGGCATGCGTTAGAGAGAACCCTTTATATTAGCTATGGAGAAGTTCAAGTAGACACACCATACTTAATGTTTATTTTGTATGCATGACAACATTTGTATGCCATTGTGTGTACTATGAATACGTGTCTTAGAACACTGCAAAAAATACAAAGACTGGACATTTGCAACCCATTCCAGCTTAGTGGTCCATACAAATGACACCCAGTTAAAAATTCTACAGTGTAGACAAGACAATTTCTGGATTTGGATGTGTGTTTAGATGGGACAGGGGTGGCACTGTGGTCTAAACCACTGAGCCTCTTGGGCTTGCTGATCAGAAGGTCGGTGGTTCGAATCCCCATGATGGAGTGAGCTCCCATTAGTCTGTCCCAGCTCCTGCCAATTTAGCAGTTCGAAAGCTTGCCAAAAGTGCAAGTAGATAAATAGGTACCACTGCGGTGGGAAGGTAAGCGGCGTTTCCATGCGCTCTGGTTTTTGTCACGGTGTCCTGTTGCTCCAGAAGCGGTTTATTCCTGCTGGCCACATGACCCAGAAAGCTGTCTGTGGACAAATTCCGGCTCCCTTGGCCTGAAAGTGAGATGAGTGCCGCAACCCCATAGTCGCTTTTGACTGGACTTAACTGTCCAGGGGTCATTTACCTTTACCTATAGATGACCAGTTGCACTGCATTGCTCTTAGTTGCATGCCCGTTCTGGTGTTTATTTGCACCCATGCTACCAGAAATGTAACTACTGGTAAATGAAAGTAGACATTAAAATAAATTATAATGCATCACTCCTCCCTTGTTACTGCTACTGTTGTGCTCCTGGAAAGCAAGCTAAGTTTGGTCATTATGTCCTGTGGTTTGTTACTTTCCAAACAAACTAAGGGTTGTTGTTGGCCTACAAACTTGTGGTTTGTACGCAGGAAAGCAAGCTAAGCCAAACCCAGCCATTTCAGCAACATGCACCAGCGCACTGTGTGCTCACGTTTAATTGTTGTTGTTTTTTAAACTATGGTATAATGTGACATGCAAACCCAGCAAATACGTACACAGATCTCACCATCAGGAAACGGTTTCTTTTGAATGAACGAAGAGTAAATGCACTTTACCAATGGTTAATTACAATAGGTATAGCACATTGTAGTTTATGAGAATAGGGAATGGAGAAACGTTGTTAGATTGAAAACATAACATTTCAAGGCTAAGGTCGAATGCCCCATTTCACCATGGCTTTTGTAACTTCCGGTTCTTACGTGTGAATACTCCTTGTTCCATCTAGTCGCCCAACTAAGTGGTGTGTTTGAAGGTTTTAAGAATTAGCTACATAAGGAAAATGGTTAATGTGTGCCTAAGGATACGACCGTTTAAATGTGATGTGCTCGTTAAGGTCAATGGAACTATACTAATGCAGATGGTCAATGAATGGTCTGTTAAATGGTAACAC